CTACATTTCAAAATTTTAAGGGTAGCTCTAGAAATACATATAAACATAAACTAATTTCTTAACATGGAATTAAGAAGAAGAAGATTCATCTAAAGTCGGGACCACGTAAGTTTGCAGTTGGTGGCAGCCAATCACAAGACAAGGCTAGTGCGACGTTGCCCCATCACCCGTTGACAAGACTAATTAAAATATACTAAGCAATATTTTCAAATCAGCTGACATTATTAGATTTGGCAACACAGCACGGTTCTCATTGGTTCATTCAAAACCATATGTTAAATAGGCTCCTCCCTCAACTGCAAACTTACGTGGTCCCGACTGTAATCTAATTATCAACGATCTGAATTGAAGCACTCCTTACAATATATGGATTAAAAAGGCTGTACCTATTTATGTGAAGTAACATTGTTTTGTTATGTTCGTAATATTAAAAATAAAATAGATATTTTAGTGAAATAACCTTACTTACAGTTTTTCATGGTGGATTTTGCAATTAATTGGACGATTTGTAACATTTTACGCAGAGATTTCTATTTCTTATACAATGGTTAAAATGTTTTCTTGGAAGTGAAGAAAATATTCCAATACACGTTTTGCAGACATTTGATGTACTAAACCTAACTGAACGGGTATTCAATATTTTTGGTATTTTTAGTAGGACTAGACAAAAGAAACTTCCTCACATACCTTTAAAACCCTTTTTAGCTTATTTTTAGGTATTTAGAAAGCCTCTTTTTTCTGGATTTTATACAACAGGTCCAGTAGTTTTTAAATATATGTGTTGTCGACCTACATTATGTATGAAATGAGTTACTAAAAATTTATTAATTTGTAGTTTTAAACAAATTTATTCATAGACCTGGTACTATTCTGGACTACTAATTTGACTCCTTGTTGTAACTTTGATCACCACTAGTGATCAACTTCACCAACAAACCAGACTACTTAACTTAGTCATCCAACTTGTGATCTAAGTTAGACAAACACTTGTATGTCTACCCAAAATTATCACTATTTATTGACTTAGGGTTTACAATTATAAAACAGACTGGTTTCAGTTTGTAACCTGAAGGGTTAACTCAGCAATATTTAATTATTGTTGAAAAAACGAGGACGTAAGTTGAGTGTTAATTAAATATGTTTTAATCTAAATCCCGGAAACAACTTTGTTATAATATGTCTAAAATGGGAGTCAAATCAGCTACATTTATTATTGGTTGTTATAGAAATGATTATTCTTCAACAGTAGAATTTATAAAGTCGGAAAAATAATGTTGAATACTTTGTTAGACAAAGATAGTATTTCATTATGGGTTTAAGAATTTAAAACATGCACCATCTATTAAATCCCCTGTCTCCACGAAGCTTGGGTCATCCAAAAAATGTGAATGAATCCCACAAACAGATACAATGCATATTTTAGTTAATTGCCTGGAGGTAGAGTTCTGCACCTCCCTCAGGTGTGATAAAACACGAACAACGTCTGCTAAAGCAACAGAGATTGGCCATTTCAATTGAATTTGTCGTATAAAACTAGAAACTCGAGCTTATTATATTTATTTGCAGGGGTTTATAACGCTTTTTGAGACATAAATCTTTTTCATTTTTTTGTGCTTTAAATGTGTTTGAACGTCATGTTCGTAAATTGGGAATGATTATTGTACTTGATTCTGACACATTGATACCAAACCTTGGATTTGGTGGATTACTTTTATACACAGACACAGTTTTAAGTAAATATACATTTTGTTCAAGACTTTTCCCCCTTGATCTGAATTTAACATGTGTATATTTATTTATCATATGTTATTTTTTCTTTCTGTTTACTTTTTTATTACATTGTTTTTATTGCTCAAGTCAACATGGTTTCTTTTTTATAATTATAATTTTTCCATTTCCCAATCCAACATTTGGTCCTTCGAGCCGGATGAAAACCTGGTAACTATATTCATTAGTTGTTAACATTACCCCATTTATAATCTAAATGTTCTACTCAGTTCCCTTACAGTCCACTATTAATTTATTGTTTTTGAAGTTTACCCGATTATAATCTTTTTGGACTCAGATCACGATATGAAATGAACTCTTTACTTACTTTAATACTATATTTTTGGTGCCAATCAATCAAACAAGCTCAAGTTTATTAATTTTTTGTGCACTTAATAGACTATACATTCCTCCTTTTAGTTAAAGACTTTATTGAAAGAAACTTATTATCTGTATCTTTGATGTACAATTCATTGTTTTGACTTCAAACTGAGATTTTGTGTTTACTCAAGACCTTTTTATATTGTGTGTGCTGCTGGTAAATTTTGTGTTCTACTACTACAATGGCTCCTAAAACTTCTGATTTTAAGTCATCCACATACACTCGCTCAACATCTCTAATTAAAACTCGTTTTAATAAGCTTAAAGATACTGTTGATGAATACTCTACCTCAACGGAACAACTCACCCCTATTCAAATTAAACAACTAAATGCTCATTTAAATGAAATTCGTAAAAGAAAAGAAGAATTCGACAACAATGTGCAACGGGTTTTAATCTTAGAAGAGGATCCTATCTCTGACGAGACATTGTCTCAAGACCTGGATGAAATTGAAAGTTTATTTTCTCATATCGTGGCTACTATTGAGTTCTTAATGTCCCATCCTGAACCTTCAAATTCTGCTATCTTAAGTGACTCTTCTTCCGTTTCTCTTCACCAAACACCGATTTCGCAAGCAGTACGCCTTCCAAAATTGGATTTACAAAAATTCTCCGGTGACCCACTAACTTGGACAAGTTTTATAAATTTGTTTGATACTACAATACACCACAACGCATCGCTTTCCAGTGTCATGAAATTTCAGTACCTCTTAAGTGTACTTAACGGAGAACCCCTCGACTTAGTCAAAAGTTTGAATCTTACTGAAGCTAACTATTTGGTTGCATATAATCTCCTCCGTGATAGATATCACAATGAACGCCGCTTACAATCTTTGCACCTCAATCACATTTTGGACCTTCCTACCATTAATGCATTTACTATAACAGGACTTCGCCATTTTGTAAATTGTTTCACTGAACACACGCAAGCTTTAAAAGCTTTGGAATGTGACATTACAAATAATAATCCCCTTCTCTCCGCACTGCTCCTGCGTAAGATGGATGCTGATTTAAGCAAAAAGCTTGAAATGTTCCGGTCTTCAACCGAAAATCAGCCGAATTCTCACTCACTTCCCGAGGTCAAAGATATAATAAAATATCTGAACACTGAATGCTCTCAGGCTGAGGATGCAAATCTACACAGCGCTCCCACACTGAATAAAATTAATAACACTTTTGCTCATGCACCCAAAGACACTACACAAAAGCAAGTACAATTTCGCTCAAGAAACGTTGCTATGGCCACGACCCACACTTCCCCCCATCAGTCATCTCACTCAACAGGCATTAAAAAACCGACTCATTGGCAGTGTTTTGCATGTAACACAAACGAACACAAGATCTATGCCTGCAGTGTGTTCCAAAATAAATCTCCCCATGAGCGACATAACCTCGTCAAAGAAAATCATCGCTGTGTCTCCTGTCTAGGCCATCATAACCTCAAAGATTGCCATTCACAAACTTCATGTCGTACATGTAACAAGAAACATCACACTTTGTTACATTTCCCTGCACCTCTTGTTGATCAAAATCATTTTAAGCCTGTCAATGCAAATGTGAATTACCCACATGAGCCTTCTCAAACCTCAATGACGTCAACTTCACAAGATCACTCTCAGCCACCTTTTAAAAGCTCCACTATACTCTTGGGAACTTTTTTGATAAAGGTCACTTCAGTTCAAGGCACATCTCATGTGTTCCGTGCCTTACTTGACTCCGGTTCCATGTGTGACTTAATCACTGAACGAGCAGCTCAACTTTTAAACGCTCGACGCTACAAGTCAAATGTTCAACTTTCTGGACTTGGCCAAAATGCAGCTAAGAGTAATGGGCAAACTTACCTCAATCTTGAAACTCTTTCTGGACTTCTCATATCTCCGCAACATTCAATGCTCATTTTAGACAAATTGACTGTAGACTTACCTCGTGTTCCAGTCTCTCCGGAAGTGTTATCGCTCACTAAACGATTTTGTCTAGCTGATCCATCATTTCACCTGCCAGGACGCATTGATATCGTGCTTGGTTGCTCTCTCTTCCCTAAGTTACTAACTCATGAAAATTACTCTCTTGGCCAACATATGCCCCACGTAATAGGAACTCATTTTGGATACATCGTGATGGGTTCTGCACCCTGTGAAATACCAAGAAATTCCACACCAAATTTAATCAGTCACACCATCTCCCTTCATTCATCTAATGATGTGGACCTTCATTCCTCACTTCAGCGATTCTGGACTCAGGAAGAACTTCCAAATTGTCAAAATAAAACTGAAGAAGAAGAACTCTGCGACGCAAACTTCGAGTCTACGCACACCAGAGACTCTGAAGGACGATACATCGTTCGTCTTCCCTTCAAGGAAGCTCACCCCCCTCTTGGAGCGTCTCAACCGCTTGCTGAACGCAGATTTCACTCTCTCGAGCGAAAATTCGCAGTCCAACCCCGCTTCTCTCAGCTTTACCACGACTTCATAGATGATTACATCTCTCTTGACCATATGACCATATGTCAAGATTCCCTTCTTCCCTCTTCACACTACTTTCTCCCTCATCATGGGGTTCTTAAAGAGAGTAGTAGTACAACCAAACTCCGAACAGTATTTGATGCTAGTGCAAAAACAAGCGCAGGGGTTTCTCTCAATGACATTCTGCTTACTGGACGCAAGCTCCAATCCAATATTTGTGACATACTTATGCATTTTAGAAGACACAATATTGTTTTTTCTTGTGATATTCGTCAAATGTATCGACAGATCCAAATACATCCTGACGATAGAACATTTCAACTCATCCTTTGGCGTGAAACTTCCTCTCAACCTCTTACTACCTACCAGCTGAACACCGTGACGTATGGTATGAATAGCTCTCCTTACCTAGCAATAAAGACTCTTCACCAACTCGCTGACGACGAAGGTGACTACTTTCCCGAGGCAGCGCAAGTACTAAGAACGCAAACCTACGTTGACGACATCATCACTGGTGCGGATACTGAGGAAACGGCCTTGAAACTTCAAGATCAATTGGTCAACCTGTTACGAAGAGGAGGATTTGAATTACGTAAATGGGTCTCCAACTCTGATCGTCTTCTACAAGCTTTCCCCAAGGAGCATCTTGAGACTCCCGTCTTTCTCCAAGATTCTGAACAGCCACATTTCACAATACTTGGCCTACATTGGTCTCCCCACTCTGACTGCTTCACTTACAACCTTAACTTCCCTATGGACCCTCATCCATCAAAACGTTCGATCTTGAGCATCATAGCAAAAATCTACGATCCTTGTGGATTTCTCGCTCCCTGCATCATGCAAGCAAAATGTTTTATGCAGTTACTATGGACCACAGGCTTATCCTGGGATGATCCCCTGCCCACTAACCTCGCCGAAAAATGGCATTCATTCCTAATCGATACTCAATATTTATCTCAAATTTCTATTCCTCGAGCGTTACAGTTTTCCCTGTCATGCACCGTAGAATTACATGGCTTCGCAGATGCGTCAGAGAGTGGCTACGCTGCTGTCGTATATTTCCGCTGTCAGATGTCTAATGGTGACACCATCATTCACCCAATAATCTCAAAGACTCGTGTCTCTCCTCTCAAAAGAGTAACTCTTCCTCGCCTTGAGCTTTGTGCTGCTCATCTTCTCGCGCAATTAGTAGCACATTGTCATTCTCTCTTCTCAGATAAAATTGCCATCAAAAATATGTATCTATGGAGTGACTCCTCGATAGTCTTGACATGGTTACGGACTCCACCCTACAAACTCAAGACATATGTAGCCAACAGGGTTTCTCAAACTCAAGAACTTGTTCCCATCGACTCTTGGTGACACATATCAAGTACTGATAATCCTGCAGACTGTGCGTCAAGAGGAATTTCTGCTTCCCTACTTGTCAACCATCCACTCTGGTGGACAGGCCCTCCTTGGCTTAAGCTCCCCACTTGTCATTGGCCTACCTCGCACTTCATTCCTGAGGACCTTTCTTCGTCAGAAGAAATCAAGAAGACACCTTTAGTTGTTCTTACATCAGCTCCTCAAAAAGAGTGGGAACTTCTTTCGTCCTACTCATCGTGGAACAAACTCCAGCGCATTGTCGCTCTTCTTAACCGCTTCATTCACAATTGTCGTCATCAAAATGACCGTCTCAGTGGTCCTCTCTCATCGTCTGAAATCTCCAAAGCTCGTCTCAAGATCTTTCATCATGTTCAACAAGCCACCTTTGCAGAAGAAATTTCATCTCTCCAAAATAAGCATGACTGCTCCACCCGACTTCAACGATTGAAACCATTTCTTGACTCTGATGGAATTTTGCGTGTTGGTGGTCGCCTCAACAACTCATCACTACCTTCTGATGTTCGACATCCATTGCTGCTGCCTAGGAAGCATCATGTTGTTGACCTGCTAATAGACCATTTTCATATCACACATCTCCACTCTGGACCTCAACTTACTCAAGCCGTGATCGCTCAATCCGTCTGGATTCTTTGTACACGTAGCGTAATTCGCTCACGTATATTCAAGTGCGTTACGTGTTTCAGAAATAAACCACGCAACAACACCCCGCTGATGGGTGATCTACCCTCCTCTAGAATCACTCCTGCTCGGCCATTTCTCTCTACAGGAATTGACTACTGCGGCCCATTCACAATTAAGAACTTAAATCTCCGATCTGTAAAACACGTAAAAGTGTATCTGTGCATCTTCATTTGCATGGTGACCAAGGCTGTCCACCTCGAAGTAGTGACAGATCTCACCACCGATGGATTCTTAGCAGCTCTAACGCGCTTTGTTTCCCGCCGTGGACTTTGTGCGGACATTTATTGTGATTGTGGCACGAATTTCGTCGGTGCTGACGCAGTTCTTCGTAAACTGGTTAAACCTCAGCTCACAACTCCTCAAGCACAAGACACCATTCAACGTTACACTGCTACTCGTGGAATCAAGTTCCATTTCAATCCTCCTGCTGCTCCTTATCAAGGCGGACTATGGGAAAGTGCAGTGAAGAGCGCCAAACATCATCTACGACGTGTAATGGGTGACACAGTTCTCATTCTTTCAGAATTCATTACACTCACCACTCAAGTTGAGGCCATGCTTAATTCCAGGCCACTAACTCCGCTCTCAAGTGACCCAGCTGACCTTTCAACTTTAACTCCTGGTCACTTCCTCATTGGAACATCACTGGCATCCGTTCCAGAGCCTCACGTCATGGATGTGCCAACAAATCGCCTTAAACATTGGCAATTAGTACAGGCTTTCCATCAACGACTTTGGAAACGATGGAGCTTGGAATACATTCATACGTTGCAACAACGCTCAAAATGGTGTAAAAATTCTCAAAACCTGAAGATAGGAGATCTAGTTCTGGTGCACGATTCTTCTCCACCACTCAATTGGCCACTTGCCCGTATAACGGGCATCCATCCTGGAAAGGATGGGATCGTCCGTGTTGTGGACCTCAAGACGTCTTCAGGACACCTGACCCGTCCAGCAATAAAAGTATTTCCTTTGCCACTTGACTAGAAGATTCTTTGTTAAAGCCCTTTGTGGCTTTAAGGCGGGCAGTATGTTCAAGACTTTTCCCCCTTGATCTGCATTTAACATGTGTATATTTATTTATCATATGTTATTTTTTCTTTCTGTTTACTTTTTTATTACATTGTTTTTATTGCTCAAGTCAACATGGTTTCTTTTTTATAATTATAATTTTTCCATTTCCCAATCCAACACATTTTAAATATATATTTTATTGGCTACTTGTTTTTATTTCTCGTTCACTCAAGCATGACAATACGTATCATATAGAGCAAAGGGTTTTCCTTAGTTTTTATATATTTATTAATTAATTCTTTTTTTCCAGGATTTTGATGTTGGCACCAATTCGTCTTCTATCCCCCATAGCTCAGTATTAATTCACATAACTGACACATAAAAACTAGAACAGTAGCTTCAGCACAGTTGTACACATAAAAGTTGGCATTATTACGAAATACATAAATTTGTATGCAATTTATATTTGAATCCGTGTATCTTTCTAGTGTGTATCTGTTATGTTTCGTTATGATGAAAAGTATTGTCCATAAGTTTTACAGCAAGTGATTTTCCAACACTTGCTCCTACTGTTTCCGACCTGGTTTGCCCCATAGGAAAAATTCATTTTCACATTCTCGGTCTTTGCCTGACACGTGATATTTAGTATTCCAATGTTCGGCATTGCCTCACACATGAAACTTGAGCTCCACAGAATAAATCACACTTCCCCATAAGTAATCAAATATGCAATTTCCTCCTTTTCCCCTAAAATCACTCCGGAAAAGGCTATGTAAGCTCTTTGGTAGAGCAGTGCGTTTAACTGTTAATTACATACTGTTTCATATAAAACTAGCTGTAACCTGCGGGCTTTGCCCCGTTTAACTTCTTAATTTTCAAGATGATCTCGTTTGCATGGCTCAATCACGTCCTGGTTGAAGTTCGTTCGCCACGCTCACTCACCTTTAGGTTGGAGCTCATTCGCTACGCTCACTTGCCTTCAGGTTAGCTCGTTCACTACGCTAACTCGCCTCCAGGTTGAAGTTCGTTCGCTATGCTCACTCACCTTTTGGTTGCAAATTAGCTGTTGTCATAAATGTAAAAGAAATAATAGTGCTGCACCCTGTTGGTAATCCTTGTAACTTTAATGCTATTGAACATCGTAGAACAGAACCAACTTGTTTAATTGAAGCAACTGTTAGGATTCATTAATTCCATTTCTCATAAGGTTAACATGGGAAACTCCAGAGCCACTGGGGCGGAGCCGATTGGACGGATCACGAAATTGATGCTGTATAAACCTATTCCATGAAATTCTACACGTATGTACCAAGTTTCGTGGCAATCGGTTTAGCGGTGTCTGAGTTTATCACTGCCAAATATATATACAAACATTCTCTTTTATACTTATAGATAAGTACATACAAACAAATATTAATACAAATTAAGCTATCGTAAAATCCTCTAATTAAACGTTATACAAACTTTGATTCAGTAATAGGCATATACAGTCAAAATTCTTAATTTAAAATGTTTCTTTTACAGCCACACGAGTTGTTTTAATGATCTGAATCCGTAAAAGGTTCCTAGCTAATTAAACTGATGCTTCGAGCCATGTCTGAATGATGCGGTTGTTTCGGGAAAACAGTGTCGTATTTTTAACAATCAAGCCAATTATTTAATAGAAAAGATTAGTAAAAATAGAATTGTGTACTATTAAATTATGACATCGGTATGTTTAGCAGTGTCATTAATTTCAATGATGAATCCTTAAAGATAGTTATTTTTGTACATTGTTTTAAACAATTATGAAGGTCTCAGTATACAGTCGTTATAAGTTATTAGAGTTATAACAGATCGTATTATGTATATTCTTGTAATCAAATACAATTAAAGAAATGCATCTTTTTAATTAGTTTTTTTCCAGTTTATGACAATTCATTCATTTGTACAGAATAGATTCTTTCACTATGTATGCCTAACAATCTTGTAGTGCAAGGTAACATAGTTTGTCTTCCATCATTTTGGCTTTTATTATTAAAACAAATGGACCCTAACAACAAGGGAATATTCTGTAATTACCTTAAAAAAAATACAAACGAATCCATTCTTCCTTATACTAAATAAATAATACTAAACATCTCTCCCCAACCTATTCTTAGGCTATTTTTTAAATAGGAAATCCATTCTTAACACTTTTAAAATTGTTTTTTCTGTAATTCTTGCAGTGCAATTTGTAGTTGTAATGCACCTGTGTGCAATCATTGAATACATTCAAAATTGCAAATAAAATCGACCGTAAGCAGATGCTTAATTCATAAGGGTATATCTTTTCCAACATAAAACATTTTGTTTGAAACGTAAAAACAGCTAAATGATCCTGAACCTAATACAGACAAAACACAATGATTCTGTCGTTTAAATAGGTTAAAATATTAATCTCTATAATTATATTTTCGCTGACAAATTATAATTAAAAAATTATAAAAGTAAATACAGTATACTTCCACCATTAAATAAACATACTTGCAAAGTTAACGGGAAGCTGCCTTAAAAAACCTAACACAAAGGCGAAGGTGTTCATGGCAGGCACAAATGTTCTAGCTATCTGGGATCTGAAACGTGAAGCTGATAAGAAGAAGAAACTGAAGAAGACCAAAGTCATAGAAAAGCCCCCATAACCCACTAAAACATCACGGCCACGACACGTCATCAAACGTAGTTCGCTAAAAGCCCACAATGCTGCTGAAGCGTCTAGGAACGCACTCCGTTAATACTCAATCAATCAATGGCAAAGCTGGGGAATTCTATTTTAATCAACGGTGCTTTTCAGAGCAACTGTTCAAGAGACCTTGTCACAGTTACCCGTTGTTAATGTAAATCATAAGACCAAAATCTCACAAATTGAATTATTTCTTCGTCTTTAATTTTGTGACATAAGTTGTATGTAACTTGATTAACAATTAGCAATATTTAGAGTATTACGAGAGTCTTCAATTTAACTGATATAATTTAATATCGGTGAACTGGAGTGGTCGTTTATGATTGTAGGTTATCTGTCCCCGATTAATAACCATGAAAAAAGCAATCAAAACATTTCAGAGCTAGCAAAATTTAAAAATAATTGCAGTCAAAAATTAATGTTGTTTTGGTTGAAGACAAATTTTAGTAAAAACCGCGAAACTATTCAAATTGATCTCATATCTAAATATTTCTACAAATGAGTTTAATCAGTCCTGTAAGTTAGGGTCTGACGACAGATAAAACCTTTAAATTACGAATATTATAAACACTGAACTATTTTCACCTAATTAAATGGTAAATTGATGCTCAAACAAAGTTAATTCCAGTGCTTAAAGTTGGAGTTATCCATTACAAAAGGTTACGCTTGTTTGTTGTTGATTTTTTTTTTGTTTAGTGTTAAGTCTGAAGAGTTTCCCACTTTGTTTAACAGTAGCAAATAAATATATTCTTACAGTTTTGAACCATTTGAGTTATTTAGTGAGATTTCAAATACATATGAACTCATGTGATGCTTTGAGGGTTGGGTGGTTTGGTTTAAAATTGAGTAGACAAAAATATAGACAATCACTACCGAAAATTTTACAAACTTTAATATCTTAAATGCATTGGTACCAAACCATTCTTTTTTTAGAGTTATTAATACGAGATGTACCTTATACCTAACAGCCTTGTTAATAATAAGTTCATATACTTTAAAAAGCCAAACATGATTTAGGCATAATCAGCTATAATCAAACCTTTAAAAATACTCTTATAACAAAAACACCAGGTCAAAATCAGTTGTAAAATATTTAAATGTATTGTAATGTTTTTTGCTCTGGATGGAGACAGAATTCAGAACTTAAAATGTTTATTGTTGATTTGACTCTAGGGACGCTAAATTGATAAGTTTAATCGTAAATCAAATGTAAAGTTAACTTGATTCCGAACACTTTTTCTGAAGTACCTTAGAAGAGAAAACATGTTAATCCATTTCAACATAGTTTAATTGACTATTTTACATGAGATGTCCCCAGCTTTTTAAGTATTTTCTTTTTACTTACAGCTCTTAAGGATAGATAGAAGCAAAAGTATCGTATGATTAAATATCGTAGGAAACAATTAAAATTGTTGGTTCTGTTTTCAATTTGTTAAGAGAAATAAAATTACCTTAAAACACATTGTGAGGTTAGTTTGTATTTAAATTAAGAAATAAATGACATACAAAACAAAACGTTAATAAAGAATATACATATTAACAATATTGTTTAAATTGATTAGCTGCCTTTATTCATAATTTGACATAAATATCAGTGTATAATTTAACAAACATTGATATAACTGAAATGTATAAACATTACATCTCCAAATAAGTGAATGCTTAACCAGTTAAAGCTTAAATATGAAATCAGTATGTCATGGAATATTCTTTTAATCCTACCTGTATAATTCTGTACCTGTTAGATTTACGTTAAAGGAAAGTTCAGCAGTTTGGTTACAGAACTTGTGTTTAAGCTTAATACCTTAATCCTGAATTTTCCATATTTATGAAGACCAAAGTTTCATAATTTGTTATATCTGTACAATTTGCATTAGGTCGTCTGAAATTAGGTTAACTGTATATAGATTGCGGTAGATTATAGTAGTAGATTATTGTAGTTCATGAGCCAAACGTTTCAATTTATTATTTACATTTTAAGGAAGCAGTCAGTAAGTTTGAAAAATGTTGCTCCTTTCAATGATATTGTTGCTGTGTGTTAAAATGATTTGTATTGCAAAGGAAAGTTTTGAATAAAGTAGTACAAGTTTAGTAGTTCCAAATGTTGTTATCTGTTTTAGGGTTTTTTTAACTACTAGATACTTTGTTTTACTTTGTGATTATAAGAGCCACTGCTGGGGTTTGAAAGTCTTTTATTTAACATTATAACTTTTCAATCAAAGATATGGCGGGGTTTAATTAAGAGCTGTCGTTGACATTAAAGGAAATGAAG